ATATATATATATTATAATTAAATAAAAGTTTTTTAAAAAGTTAAAAAGTAATAATTGAAGTTCTAGAGAGAAAGAGGATTGGGGTTTTTAGAAGTGAAGAAAGAGAGATTGGATCTCTAAAGAGATAGAATGGGTTTTTAGAAAGAGGGAGAGATTTTCTAGAGAGAATTAGTTTTTAGAGAGAGAAAGAGAGATTGGTTCTTAGAGAGAGAATGGATTTTTAAAGAGATAAAATGGTTTTTAGAGAGAGAAAGAGAGATTGGGTTTTTAGAGAGAGAGTTTGGATTTCTAGAGAGAGAATAGATTTTTAGATAGAGATTGGATTTCTAGAGAGAGAGAGAATGGGTTCCTAGAGAGAGAGATTGGATCTCTAGAGGGTGATTGGATTTTTAGAAAAAAAGAAAGATTGGGTTTTTAGAGAGAGAATACGTTAGAGAATGAATTTTGGAATTCTAGAGAGAGAGATTAGGCTTCTAAAACGAGAGAATGGGTTTTTAGAGAAAGAGAGATTGAGTTTATAGAAAGAGGTAATGGTTTTTAGAGAGCGAGAAAGAGAGATTGGGTTTTTAGATATAGATTGGGTTTTTAAAGAGAAAGAGAAAGAGAAAGAAAAAGAGTGGGTGTATAGAAAGAGAAAAAGAGATTGGGTTTCTAGAGAGTGATAATGGTTTTAGAGAGAGAAAGAGGATATGTTTCTAGAGAGATGGATTGAGTTTTTAGAGAGAGATTGGATTTTTAGAGAGAGATAGGGTGTTTAGAGAGAGAAAGAGAGGTTGGGTTTTGAGAGAGAGAAATTGAGTTTTTAGAGAGAAAAAGAGAACGGATTTTTAAAAAGAGAAAGATATTGAGTTCTTAAGGAGAGAATAGGTTCTTAGAGAGAGAAAGAGATAGTAGGTTTTTATAAAGAGAAATGGGTTTTGAGAAAGAAAAGGGGAGATTGAGTTTCTAAAAAGAGAGAGAGATTGGATTTTTGGAGAGAGAGTGGGTTTTAGAGAGAGATTGAGATGTTAGAGAAAGAAAGATTGAGTTTCTAGAGAAAGAATAAGTTTTTAGAGAAATTTTTTATACACTATTTTACTCCTTTAAGCCAAATTTACACTAAGAAAATATTTTTATGTATCCCAAATTTTGGGGATGTGATCTCGAGAGCCCGGCAACCAACCTCAACGGAGAAAGAGAAAATTAACTCACCCTTTATGATTGCATTGTACCATTCAATTTTTGGAGGGAACGACGAAGATGTTCAAGAGTTCAAAATACAAGTTTTTTTTTTGAAAAAATTACGTACGTATCCGTTATAGTTTCCGTTATTATAAAACTACCTAATAGTTTTCGTTATCCCCATATGTAACCGTTCTTTTTACGTCAAAACGAAATATTTTAAAATTTTTTTTACCCTTTTTCCGTTATTAAACCATTAAATTTATAAAATTTTCAATTGCTCAACAACACAATAAGCCAATTTGGATTCTCCAATAAGTTCAAATTTTACTTTTTGTGGTCATGCCTGGACAACACTTTGTCTCTTTCTCTCTACATGCCCTCTAGCACTCTCTCTCTAACAGCCCCCTCTCTCTCTCGTCCTCTAACAGCCCCCTCTCTCTCCTCTTGCCATCTCTCGCTAATCGCCCTCTCTCCTCCACCCGCCGTCTCTGTTTCTCTCAATCTACCGTCATCCCTCCTCTCTTCCTGCAGAGAAAAATAATTAGATTTGAGGAGAGAGAGATAGAGGTTTCTCAATTTCAATCCAGCAACCTTTAATCTCTCGTGAGAGAGAGAACGATCGATCTCAATCTTGGAAAAAAATCCAGCAACCTTAAATATTTGTACAAATAGAGAAGACCCCCATCGCCCATCATGCTCGAATTTAATTTCCCGGCCCTACCATCCTTGGCCTTCTTTCTCCTTGCTTATCTCTCTGCCTACTTTGTTGCTTTCCCCTGCCATCGCCTGAATTTTGAAAGGAAGCAGAAAGCAGCCTCATCTCTCTAGCCCATGGCACCGCAGTTGCTGTAATGACCATTCTCTCTCTATCGTCCAAGCCACCAATTCACAAAAGCTGCTCTCTCTCTATACAAACCCCAAGACCCTCCCCGAGAGTTTCCCCGTTGCATATGCGATCATTGTTGCAGGTGACCCCTTCAAGGTAATAGGTGACGCCATTACAGGGAGAGGCTAAATCCTTCTTGGTCCAACGAGCGAGCGTTCCTTTTGGGTCTTGAAAGCGTTGTTTCAGGCTTGATAAGCAGGCTTCGTGGTCTGGGTCTGAAATGGCGGACCCACCAGGAGGAGGACAAACAAGAAGGCGAAGGTCGCCATTAATAGGGGGTTTTCTGGAGAATTATTGGGGTTCCCGACGATATCAAACATAATTTTTTGATAAAATATAATGATTAGAATATTCTTTGAAAATTTTAAAAATATTTTGGTCATTTTATTTGATTGAAAATATTTTTTTTATATTTTCACTAATACAAGTTTAATAAAAAATTTGTCGTCCAAAATTTGGTGTCGGAATTATTTATAACATTATGATGGAGACAATGTTAGCTCTCAATTCAAAATGGTGGGGAAGTACATAAGTTTTATACCTTGTGGGGGTGTTATGGTAAATAAAGGTTATTTTATTCCTTAAGAAGACGGCGTGTTTGAATGTTTGGTATGATCATGGAATAATGATTTTGGGGGCTACATAGGAAGAGACGTGTTGCATATTTGGTATGATCATGAAATATTATTTTGGGGGCCCACATCACATCGGAAGAGACGTGTCTTAATGAAATATGCATTAGGAAGTGGCATTTGGTGTGAAGATGCCCGCTTACTGAAATCTTGGTAAAGCCTCTTTCATTTCACAGATTGTGATTTCCTTTGCTGTTTGCAGTAATGGTACAAGGTTGTTACCAACTGTTTCCAATGGCCGTGAAAAGGTCAAAAATTGGTGGAAATATTGTTAGGGATATGCTTGGAATTATTATTATCGGTGATGATCGCTCCACCATTATTCTGAGTACTCCCATTAGCAAACCTTCGAGCATTGATCCGGGCCAAAGACCGAATAGGCTTAGAAGCGACTGTAGCTTTCCCTTTTCCCTTGGGATTTTTTCCAACTTCAATGTCCATATTCACCTGCATATTCTTTTTGACCTTCTCCTCCACCTTTCATTTCTGGATGTTCTTTTTAATGTCTTGGTACTAAACAACCAACGGGGTAAAAAAAGAAACCACCATTTCATTCAGCATTTTGCTAATTGATTCCTGGCTGCATTCCTTCAAGATCGTTGTCCGGTAGTGTTCTTTGATGCTATTATGGAGTATCTACGGCAAACAAAGCTGAGTTGAGTGCTTTTCTTATGTGTCATTGACGGAGATTTCCTCAATGTCGTTAATGGGTGAAACAAGAGTTGGAAACCCG